TCAAAATCCTCTAAAGCTGTCTCGTAATTTTGAAGTTCTTTTTCACAGAAAATTGAGACAATCTGCTGAATCTGGTACTAATTTTGAATTCATTATTATATTTTATCATATTCTTGACACATTATTTCATTTATCAAATCATTATTGTAGGATTATCTAATGTAGTATCTCCAAATGTACCAAAAGATGTAATAGAAGCATTTGAAAAGCGACACTCTGAAATTGTAATAGGACGTAAGAGAAAATTTTCTCAAAGTACAACATCTGATAATAGTGAAGATGAGGGAAGATCAAATTATGATATTAAAAATATAGATAAAGCACTAGGAAATCATGAATATGATAATCCAGCATTCCTAAACGATAATGAAGATTAATTGAATGTTTTAATGTAAATTTCATATAAAACTATTTAACTTCTTATGTATTGAAATACCTAATTTTCTAAATAAAATGTTCTAATAAAAAAAATACATATTCAAGAATCATTAAAACCATTAGTAAGTGTTGGTGAACCTTTAGTAAAAGTCGCGCAATTACACAGTCGATTCTAATTGGTACCGTCATGTTCAAGCACAAATGCTAAGAACATAATATGTGCATATATACAGCTGGGCTTGCGCGCTCTAAGTACTTTCAAAACTTTCCTCTCTACTTTCCTATCCGCAAAGGAAGGAGAAAAAGAGTAGAAGCTACCGAGATCAATGCGATACGACACTTCCCATTTCTAATCCTTTTCTCCTTTCTTTGTGTTGGACAGTGGTTAGACAATATGCAACCGTTGCCGTAAATTCCCTCAATTGTTGCGTGATTCTAAACGTGACATCGCGGATAAGCAGTTCAGCAGAATAAGGGTAGAGGACACAGCAGGGGTCAGGCATACTCTCACGTTTATGATTGGTCACGTCACGTCAGTCGGCTACGCTGCCCTCTATACCTATCTAACTAAACTGTCCATTTATGCCGTCATGAATGGAGTCACGTGACATTTAGGGGAATTCACGGCAACAGTGTATTTAAAGGGTTAAACGCTTTAGCGTGGAGATAACGGTAGAGGACACAGTTATCGACAAAATGAGACGAAAACGGGTTTACGGAATAACACTTAACTATTTTAAATCAGCATCTTTTTCAATGTTTATTGATATCATTCGAAAGAGGAAGGTTCAGCAGAGTGCGAATGTCAAATTTCGATCGCTCTCATTGCTTTACTTTTGCAATGATGAAGCAACGATGACGTGACTAATGTAGAAAAAGTATACGGAACACAATTAAATTCCTATAAATTAATTATCAATGTACGTAGCATAATAACATCATCTACGATTAGAAAATATCAATATCGAAGAGAATTCAAAGCTTGCAGCTATTAGCTTGGTATCATCCTCGACTCAGTGCAATTCGCAACATTTTCTAAACCGAGGATGATACCGAGTGCCCGGGTTTCACTGCGCGCAGGTTGCTGCTTTAGAGACCCAAAAGAGAATCAGAACGAAACCGGTATTCGTTATGGCTCCCTTTCTAACAACGACGACTTACTAAACTAATACGATCGTTAGCTAGCTAGCCAGCACATACCGATACACACGCGCGCGCGCACGCATACGTCGAGTAACTATTACGGGGAAAAAGTGAATCAAAGAAGAAGTCACCGATCCACGAGGATCAGAGCATAAGACTCTGATTCTACCGAATTTAGAAACAAGAACGAGTCAGAGCAAAATGTACTGACTCGAGGGTGACGCGATGCGCACAATGCTCGCGCCAGTCTGGAGCCACCTAGATCTCGATGTCCGGCGCGTGAGTGAGACTCTCCCACATTGGGTATATAGCCATTTCTCGCTCTGCCCCCTAATATAAAATTAGGGAGATTACCCACTGGATCGGCGATAAGCGAGAGGAAGAAAACCTGGGTAACCATTTCCCGCCCTACGCCCTAATTAAAATTAGGACGTCTTACACGCCGAAACAGCGACCAGGCGGGAGCCTTCCTAGAAGGAGGGTCCGCGTTCTAACCAACACGCCGCATGATCATTCGCCGAACATCGAGATGTGTTCGGACGTACCCGTAAGAGTTTGCGAAAGCAAAACCACCACAGCTTTCTACTATGGCGGAGTCAAAAACGAGACGCGAAGAAGTAAAGCTAAGGCAATACTACTAGACATATGCGAAATTAGTGACTCGGGGACGCTACCCTCCGTGCCTCACACGGGCGCTCCCGTGAGTCGGAGGCCCCTGAGCGATTTTAACCCCTTCCCGTACCATTTTCTGTATATTTATGACGACTAGAAGTTTCTCAATTGAAATAATTTCTCGGAAGGAGAAGAAAATTTGAATTTATTCTGAGACTACAATTCGTGAACAATTAAATATTGTGGTGAGAAGAAGAGAAATTTAGACGAAGTTTTGAAAGAACAAAATAATAGTCATTCTTAAGAGAAATCTTTATTAGAAGCTAGACCCGTTAGAGCACGATGATAATATCTGTAATGTACCTAAAATGATTGAGAATAGTTAGTCAGAATACAAAAAGGGTACCAGGATTTAATAGAAAACCTAAGACCAGCACAGGAGTGTCAAGCTAACCCGCACACGAGTGCAATTTTTGTGAAAATAATTGGAAACGAAATTAAGAATCCTAACAACCTACAAGCGCCTCGGGTTCCTCTGATCGGAGGAATACCAATTTCAACAATTTTTGGACGAAATCTTGTTTCGAAACCCGACTTAAAATATAAATCGACGAGAGCACAAGAGTGCAATTTTGTAGCCAATGCATTGTATGCCAGAGAAAAAATCAAAGTGAAAGTGACAAAAAAATGATGCAGCGATCCTTGGAACGGCTACTCGCAGTGCGGCATTTATTTCGCGACTCTAACCAACGCGTTGGCAATTTTTGCGACTCTAACACAACGCGTTGGCAATTTTCGCAACTCTAACACTGCGCTTTGTCAATTTCTCGCGGCGTTAATACAACGCATTGTTAATTTCGTCTCGGAACTCTAAGGAAAATCGCGAATGCCTGCACTGCGGAGTGTTGCAGCTGCGGCATGGGCTCTGTGAAAGTCGAACGAAACTACTGCAACGTGATTATTCTCGTAACGCTAACTCAAAAACTTGTCGAAGACAAATCGCGATAATTTATTTCGCAATGCTAGGATGCAAAAATCGCGATGTGCCCAACCGAGCCGATCGTTGGGACCTCGGTCCATTGTTGGAGCCGCGGAATGGGCGCCTGAAAAGTCGAACGAAGCTACTGGCAACGCGATTATTTCGACGCCACGCTGATGCAACGAACAGAAATCCGAAAGATTTTACTTTACTTTCTGGAAACAACGAGTCTGTAGACTTTGAAATATCTGATAGAATTGTAAAGTTGAAACGCGATAATTTCGCAATGCTATATTCGAAGCTATTGTGCTTGATAATTCGAATATAATAAAAAATCGCGTCTATTTTATCCGCAACGTTACGATTTCTGTTCAAAATTAATTATAGCAACGCGTGATCAATTCGCAACGCTATGGCAAGTCGCGGATGTGCCCATCCGAGCTGTTGTTGGGACGGCGAGGCCCTTCGTTGCAGCTGCAGCATGGACGCCTGAAAAGTCGGAAGGTAAACTATTGTAACGCGATTATGTCGTCGCGACGCTAATTCAATGAACAGAAATGCAAAAGCGAGTGGACTTTAATGATCTTCGAAATCTTCTAACTTGAAACGCGATCGTATTTATTCGCAACGCTATCTTTGACGCTTCTTGCACGTCGAATCAAATGAAATCGGGATTATTTCATTCGCGACGATATACTTTGAATAATTAATTTCAATGCTAATGATAATCATGATGGTTTTATTCGCTACGCTAATTTTGATCTCTGTTGAAAATGAAGCGAAACAACGCGAGATTATTTTGCAACGCTATTGCAAGTCGCGGATGTGCCCATCTGCGCTGATCGTTGGGGCGGCAAAGCCTGTCCAAATACTACTACTACTATTACAAGAACTACTATTACTATTGCAGCGAGTACAGTGACCAATTAACAATACATATACATAATAATATACACAATAATCTTTGGCTTACAATAGTATTAACCTGAAAATAAAGAATCTGAAAATAAAG